CCCGAGGCACCATCCAAGCATGGCGCAAAACCCGCTCCTGTTCGGCAATGTCTGTCTTGCAGTTCCTGAGAGACGAGGCAAAAATGCTAACCACGTCAGTTATCAAGGCCCGTGTGCAACTACCCAAGACGGATAATTGTGTCCCCCTTTCCCACATTTAGCAAAAAAATTGAAGGAGGTAACACAGTGGGAGCAATAAGAAAATTACAAGTGACGACACTGTAGCCCCCAAAGATGAGACCACAGCCCAAGCACTAAGAGACAAGCATCCAACCAGGGACACCATAGCCATCAACAACAACCCTGAGGAAGACCCATCACTGAACAATTAATTTTGCCTGAATCGGAAGTCTATAAGGCGATTGTGTCATTTCCTGCAGGATCTGCAGGAGGTTACACGGGAATTCGACCTCAGCACCTCAAGGGGATGGTAAATCCAGTACTCGGTGCATCTGCATCACTTCTTCTCACACGAGTTAACACTTTCTTCAACAACTGCCTGGCTGGGCGAATCCCAGAAGAAATTAAACCTTTCTTTTTTGGAGCCTCACTGTGTGCCTTGAAGAAGAAGGATGGGGGAATCAGACCCATTGCGGTTGGAAACACCCCTTCGCCGTCTCGTTCCCAAAAGCGCGGGTAAGAACATTCACCTAGAAGCTGCCAGTTTACTCCAGCCACACCAACTGGGCTTTTGGGGTCCCCTCTAGGCAGTGAAGCTGCAGCTCATGCGGCAAGGGCCAAACATCAGAGACCTACAAAAGACAAGGCCATAGTCAAACTTGATTTTAGAAATGCCTTTAATATGGTAAAAGAGAGATGCTGTCTTGCCACTGTTGGGGAAACGTTTCCCCCAGTCTTTTTCCGTTCATTTCACCCGGTACAGCAAACCTAAATTTTCTTTTGTTTGGAGAACATGAAATTCTCTCATCAGAAGGTGTTCAGCAGGTGACCCACTCGCTCCACTTCTCTTCTGCTTGGCAGTAAGAGAACTAACTTCCAGCCTACGCAGCGAGCTCAACATCTGGTACCTGGATGATGGCACTCGGGCAGGTACTGAAGAGTCCCTGGTAGGGGACCTAAAAACTGGTGAAAACACAGGGAGAAGACTTGGGACTCACCCTCAATCCCTCCAAGTGTGAAATCATCAAGCAAAACCAGGAAATAATCAATGTTGTGTGAAAAATTCTCCCAGAAGTCTCTACTACCACTCCGTCCAACAGTACCCTTTTGGGGAGCACCGCTGGGTCACCAGGCCATCGACACAGTCCTCAAGGACAAATTGAATGACCTGATGAGAATGGAGGAGAGAATAAGATCTTGATGCCATGATGCTCTGTATCTCCTCAAAAGGGTGCCTTACTTTTCCCAAGACTCACTCACTTCCTCAGGTGTGCACCCTCTTTTGACAACCCAACACTTGACGAATATGATGCACACCTGGGGTTTCAACCCTTAAGAAGGCACTGAACCTGTCACTAGGGGATCAGCAATGGGATCAGGCAACCCTCCCAGTACGACTGGGGGGTTTATAGGGGTGCGCAAAGCAACGCATGTTGCTTTACCTGCTTTTTCTGTCTTCGTGTTTGGCTTCCAGTGCTTTAGTCAAAAAGATTGTTCCCGAACACTTGAGAGACGGGGTAGGAGCTCAAGCCCCCAGGTTTACTGAAGCAGCAAATCGGTGGGACACCCTTACAGATTCCCCCAAGTAGACCAGCTCCTCCCAAAGGAACACAAACAGTCCACTGGGACAAACCGATCAGGGAAAAAATCGCCAACACAATGCTCTCCAACGCCTCAGGAAAGGACAAAGTCGTCTCCTGGCAGTGAAGGCACCACACTCAGGGGGATTTCCTGTTTGCTGTTCCCAATTTCCCTCCTTGGGCACTCGACTAGACCCACAGGCCATTCGGATTGGTGTTGCTCTTCGCCTAGCAGCCCCCATCCTCACCGAAATAGGTGTATTTGCGGCAGGGCGACAGCTGATTTAATTCGGACTTTATGGTCCGTGTGTCACACAGCAGAAGGGAGGTTTTGCCAGGCATGAGGAGGGCAATGACATATAAAGAGAAGCCTCGCCACAGCCCGTTGCCCACCCCAACGGGAACCCCCAAATGCAAAGGTCTCACGGAAGTCCCAAAGCGTCCTGATGGAGCCACTATGCTACCTTGGAAGGATGGAAAGCAGATTGCCTGGGACTACACATGTGCCACCACATTGGCAGACACCTACTTGCCATACTCCGTAGTGGAAGGGGGTGGAGCTGCCAGCCACAGGGGGACTCAGAA